CTTCTTGAATTGTGGGTGCCCAGAACTGGACACAGTCCCTCAAAACCACATTTGATGGAGTTTTTGACATGGTTGTTTTGGCTGGGAAATGGACAACTGGGGGGGGGGTTCCCTTGTGGGATTTAACAGGACTACACTGAAGCACCTACCATAGGGATACATACATGGGCTGGACAGTTCCCATCCTTGCTTCAGATTATACTTCCTATGTTAGAAAATAGGCTGGGGTCTGCAAGAGCTCATGCTGTAATAAATCTGGTAGTTTTAAAGGTGCCATAGGACTCTGTTGTTTAAGGCTCACTGTTGTTTCAGCTGCTAGAGAGCCTTTGAAAATTGTTCCTATCTCTCCCTCCTCACTATCCGTTTGGTCTTGAGAAAACACTGCTGGTGGTAGCAGTAGTTGATTACACAGAGAGACCTATTATTTTCTTTGCTTCCTAGTTTTCAGACAATTCACTAGAGCCGCCAACCAATTAAAGGTCCTTTCAATCAATTAAGTGCCTGGCCTTTCACTGATTAATTGAATAAATGTTAGCATGCCCATGGCAAAAGCTCAATGGCCTGCCTTTCCCTCCGAAAGGCAAGAGGCAGTTTCTCTTCCCAGTGTGACAGTTCAATACAGACCCAAAAAGCTGCAATTCGCTCGTAAGAAGAATGTTTAGTCTCGGGGACATTCTCTGTTATAGGAGCACATCAAAGCTAGAACAAGCTTCAAAAGTTAAACTGAAGATACGTCAATACTGTGGAAGGCCAGGCACTTAATTCAAAAGAAGGGTGCTGTGGGGTTTTCAAGCAAACATCTTCCTAGAACCCCAGGTCCTGCTGATTGAAGGGGGGGATCACAGGAGTTTAAAAGACACAGTATCTCTTACTTTTTGAAGGAAATGTATTTTCTTCCCTGCACTGTTCTAACACAATCAAAGACACTTGCTCCTGCAGCCCTACTTTCCCTAAAAAGACTGCAGATTTCCTATTCTCTTACATTGCTCCACTCCTTCTGTCTTGCTATTCCTTCTGCTTGGAACACCTTTTCTGGCCTTTTTCAGACAACCTTATGATCACCCATGGTTGATCATGACAGTGATGACCCTAGTGTTCTCTCAGGCTCATGTTCTCTCCTTCTCTTTGGAGTGGTGAGGAGTAATTTGGAAGCTTTCACTTCCATTTTTGATTAATCACATTTTCTTGGGGTCAGAGTACATGATTATTCTTAAATGTGGTGTGTTTGAAACGAGCCAACTTTGACTTATCTCTTAGGAAGCTGGTTTGTTTCAAACATACTATAGTTCAGATTAACCATAGTTTAGGGCAGGGCCCCTCAAGGGCTTTGGACCGGCCCTAGGCCGGTCCTGCCGCCACCGCCACCGCCGCCCACCATGATGATATTGATTATTGCTGTTATTACTTGTTCTTGGGGTTTTCTTCACAAAATCTCCACAGGGGTTTTGCCATGGCTTTTCTGGGGCTGAGAGAGTGTGCGTGCATATTTTTTAATTTTTTTATTTTTTTAAAAAATATGTTTATATTTATTTATTTATTTATTTATTTATTTATGGTGCTTCAGCCCCCCCAATTGTCTGAGGGACAGCAACCCAGCCTCCGGCTCAAAAAGGTTGCCTACCCCTGGTTTAAGGTTTAGATGCAGGGTTAAATTATCGTTAATTCAAATATCAACTGAAAAATTATGATCTCCTTGAAATCACGACACATAAGGAGGCAGACCCGAGCCAAGAAGAAAAATTAGCGCTCCTCTCATAAAAATAACCTACAGTTTATTATAACATAGAGGGACCCCTATATCTCTTTCTCTCTTCTCACCACTTTTAAAATCGATTTTGAAACCTGTTTGTATGAATTGTTTAACACAGTATCCTGTCTCCCAATCCCAACTGAAATAAAGCCTGTGTAGTACCAGTCACTTGCTCATTTATCATCCCAGTTATGCCTACTCCTCTCCCTTTTGTAAATTCCCTGGGGAAGAAACTACCTTGTCAACCACCATATATGTTGGTAGCACTGTATAAGTAAGAAATAACAACATGTGGTGCATATTGAAAGCTGACAGGGTAGCCTGCCTGAGCTCTAAACATTTTAGTTGTTGAAAGACCCAATTACACCTGAAATTAAGGCTGCATCCATACTGCAGAAATAATCCAGTTTGACAACACTTCAACTGCTATGGCTCAATGCTATGGAATTTCTAGATTGTTGTGGCACCAGAGCCATCTGACAGAGAAAATTAAATGTCTCACAAAACTACAATTCCCAGAATTCCATAGCACTGAGCCATGGCAGTTAAAGTGGTGTCAAGTTGGATCATTTCAGCAGTACAGATGCAGCCTGAATGTTCAAATACACATGAATAGGAGGGGTGTGGAACCTGTGACCTTTCACATGTTGTTGCACCCCAAATCCCATCCATCCCAACTAGCATGACTGATGGTTGGTGATGATAGAAGTTACAATCCAATAACATCCCTACCCCTGGCCTATAGCCCTAACATTCATTGTTATATATCTCTTTTCTCTCCATATAAAGTCTATGGGCCTTTGCAGACTGCCAGAAACAGTGCACTTTAAATTGAGGCACT